AGTAGTTCTAAAAAACATTATTTCTTACTTGGAGATAGTGACGGTCTTCATTAGTACATGGACTGAAATCACTGTTGAAAATGCCATCAAGGCTCGGCGCCTGTAGCTCAAGTGGCTAAGGTGGCGGGTTTGAATCCCGCCTGGGCCTGCAAAACAACAATGGTGGCTCCAACCAAAAATATAGCCAGGCATTGTGGCAGGTGCCCATGGTCCCAGCTACTTGGGAGGCAGAGGCAGGAGACTCACTTGAGCCCAGGAGTTGGAGGTTGCTGTGAGCTGTGATGTCCCAGCACTCTACCCAGGGGGACAGCTGGAGGCTCTGTCTCAAAAAAGAAAAAAGAAAATGCCATCAACATTAACCTGCTCATTCCACTGAAGTTCTGAAATCTTTTGTCATTTAAATATTTCAATATCTCTTTTGTAATAATTATATCTAAACTAAAATAAATTCAAGCTATAAATATACAGGGTGTCCTTAAAGTTCATGTGCGATTTACTGTGTTAGACTGTTTTAAATTGCACACATACTTTATGTCTACCCTGTATGTACATGTATATGAAGACTGAGAAAGGAGGTCATATATCATGACCAAGTACAGTTTATTTGAAGAATACAAAGTGCTTTAACGTTTGAAAATTAATCAAATACTATATAAAATAGAATATACTATATACTATACTATAGTGTACTATAATAGAATAAAAGAGAAAAACCTAGGTTCATCTTAATAGATCTAGAAAAGACATTTGAAATAATTTAATTTTCGGTCATAATAAACAAAACTGTCAGCCTACTAGGAATGGAAGGGAACCTTTTCATTCTGATAAAGTTATGAAATTGGCAGGACATGGTGGCTTATGCTTGTAATCCTAGCACTCTGGGAGGCCAAGGCAGGTGGATTGCCTGAGCTCAGGAGGAGTTCAAGATTAACCTGAGCAAGAGCGAGACCCCCGTCTCCAAAAAATAGCCAGGTATTGTGGCTGGCTCCTGTAGTCCCAGCTACTTGGTTGAGCCCAAGAGTTTGAGGTTGCTGTGAGCTATTAGGCCACATCACTCTACTGAGGGTGACAAAGTTGAGACTCTGTCTCAAAAAAAAAAAAAAAAAGATATGTAAGTGCAACTAGCATTATACTTAATAGTGTAATATGGTGCTTTTCTTATATTTGGAGTGAGGCAAGGATGTCCAGTCTCATTACTTCTAGTTAACATTGTACAGAAAGTCCTAGCTGGTTCAGTAAAGCTAGAAAAAGAAATAAAAGGCATATAGATCAGAAAGTAAGAAATAAAACTGTATCTGTAAAAAATGCTAAAGAATTTGGGAAGCTAGCAGGATATAAGGTCAACATACCAAAATCAGTTGTATTTCTGTATACTATCAGTGATTAATTGGAACATAAAATGTTTAAAGTGTTGTTTACAAGTCCACGAAGTATGAAGTTCTTAGGGATAAATGTATCAAAATAGTATGAGACCGTTAACACTGAAAACCACAGAATGCTGCTGAGAGAAATTAAGGAAGATCTAAATAAATGCAGAGATATCATGATGTTTATGCTTGAGATAACTCAAAATTGTTAAGATGCGAATTCTCCCCAAATAAGTACCTGATTTCAAGAATTGTTATAAGACCGTAGTAATCAAGACAGTAGAGATAGTAGTGGCAAATGATAGATATGTAGATTAATCAGACTAGAGTCTGGGTTGCCTGTGACTGGGGGTTTTGTAGAGAGAACTAATTGCAAAGGGGCAATGTGGAACTTTTTGGAATGATGGAAATGTTCTATGTCTTGATTTTTGAGGTGGTTCTAAAGCTGTATACATTTGTCAGAACTTATCAAACCCTGCATTTATGTGGGTGGATTTTATTATATTTAAAGTATACACTCATAAAAATGTTTTTAAAAAGAATCTATATTTTAAAATTATAAAAACAAAAACAAAAACCCTTATTTCTCAGGTTGTTTTCCTGATAGATTCTTCCAGTTTTGAGGTGGGAATATATGAGTTTTTGAAACCCTCTTCCATGTGTGTTCTATCTTTTAGAACATGACTGATACCTAATAGTCATTTGGTAGTTTTCAGTATATTCAGGAAAATACTGTAAGGTTTATAGAAGCAAAGTATTTTTTTTTTTTTTTTGAGACGAATCTCACTATGTTGCCCTTGGTAGAGCACGGTGGTGTCACAGCTCACAGCAACCTTGGGCTTAAGCTATTTTATTCTCTTGCCTCAGCTTCCCAAGTAGCTGGGACTACAGGGGCCTGCCATGATGCCTGGCTATTTTTTGGTTGTAGTTGTTGTTGTTGTTTTGGCAGCCTGGGTTGGGTTTGAACCTGCCTGCTCTGGTATATGTGGCTGGCGCCTTAGCCGCTGAGCTACAGGTGCTGAGCCAAACAAAGTACTTTGAACACTTATTTTTATATTAAGATTTTTGCATTCTACCTGGGGCAGTGGCTCAGGTAGTAGGGCGCTGGCCCCATATACTGAGGGTGGTGGATTTGAACCTGGCCCTAGCCAAAAATGCAAAAAAAACAAAAAAACAAAAAAACAGATTTTTGGAAATTCTTGAAGTATATTCTTTTGCATAGAGACTAATTCTGTAAATTTATGTATATCATGCATTAGAATTTCCAAGTTTTCTTTTGGTTTTTCTAAAATTATGGTGATATGATTGCTTATATACATTCTTCATTTTACTTATCAAATTTTTAGATAAAACCTTTTTCTGGCCATCTAAGCCAGTAATTCTTAGATTTTGAGATTTTATAGAATACTATTTTCAGTTATTTGGCAGTGTCTTAAATTTTGCCAAATAAAGATACCGAGATCAAAAAATCACTATCATAATTATTTATGGACCTCTAGGAAATAGTCTTTTGTGTCTGGGAAGAATGCTAGCTGCATTCATGAGCAGAAAATTTGAGAGCAAGTGCTGGTTTGGATACTAAATCAACCTATTTAGCTATAAAAAGATTGAGTTCTATGCCACAGATATGGGTACAAAATATTGCCATGTAATTTTTATTTGGTCTTCATGAAATTTGTTTATTTAGGATCACAGATATTTGATTTTAAAGTTTCATCAGTGTTTAGAAAAATTATATTTTTAGATATTTGGAAAGATTATTGCATTCAATTTCACATAGTTCTATTTCTGAAAGAAAAATATTTCTCAATCTTACCTTTATAAACTTACAGGCTTATCAATTCAAGTTATTGTCAGTGTTAAAATAATGAGATTTGATGTGCGATGAATTTCTTTATTTTATAGGGGTGGTTCTTAAACTTTAAGGTGAATCAGAATCACCAGGAGGGATTGTTAGAGTAGGTTAGTGGGTTCCACCCTTGAAGCTTCTGCTTTAGTAGGTCTGGGGAGAGGGTGGAAATTTGCATCTTCAGCTAGGTGGTGACTATGTTAAGAACTACTAATGGCTTGGCGCCTGTG